CAGTTGCTTTCGATGAACCATTTTGGGACCGGCTTGTTCGTCTGTCTCCCCTGCTTGCCCGCCTGCCGGAGGAAAGATGGAGGGAGCACAGGGAGTCCTTATGTGCTGCAAACCCAAGAAATTAACTCAGCCAATTGCTCTACCACTGCATTAGTGGGTTAACCAGGTAGGTATTAGGAAGGCCTTTGCTTCCTCTTTCTTCTGCCCTGTCCCAACAACTAACAAACACAGCCTGAGCTTTAGATACTCTGATGGCACAGAGCTTTAAATAAAGGCAATGAGAGCTTAAGGCTCTGGAGAGCTCGTTAGCTACACTCCAAACAGTGCAGCAAAGTAGGATCAAACCTTTAGAAAAGCCATGTGGTGGAAAAGGTAGACAGTGGGGGTCATAAGCTATCCTAGTAATTCAAGGATGCAATCCTAGTAATTCAAGAGAGCAAGATACTGCAAGAGATCAGAGAGCCCTCTCACCTCTCCCGTTCTTGATGAACTGTTTCCTAGCTTTGACTTTTTGAGAAAAAACTTCTTCACTGTGAGGGTGACAGAGCATTGGAACAGGTTGCCCAGAGAGGTAGTGGAGTCTCCTTCCCTGGAGATATTCAAAACCCGTCTGGATGTGATCCTGGGCAATATGCCCTAGGTGACCCTGCTTGAGCAGGGAGGTTGGACGAGATGATCTCCAGAAGTCCTTTCCAACCTAAACGATTCTGTGATTCTGTGAGGTTCTCTCCTGTCTCTGTTAAGATAGGAATTCAAATTGCAGCCCTTCCTGCAGCCAGGGAACTTACAGTTTCTCTTTTCTACTTACCTAACAGCAGCTTCAGAACTCACAGTAGCTTGTCTTCTTAGCAGATGGGTTGAGGTCACATTTGAATGAAACTGGCCAGCAGTTAAAAAAATACTGACACGGAAACATAGACTAACAGAGAGACAAATACAAATACATTCATACACATATATAAATTTCCTTAGCAAATCGGGATAAAAAACAGAGCAATTAGTGGAAAATAACAACAGAATTTGGGAGAAGTAGACATGACAGGGCATTTTGAATGATGAGCAGGAACCAGAGGGGGGGATCCTAAGCAAACACCATACAGAGTTGGCCTTTGCGTGAGATTACAGTACATTAAGGGTAACTGACCCATTTCTTTTTGTCATGCCCTCAGTGCCCAACAGAAATCCTGAATGGATTTTGGTAAGTGTTCTGTGGTATCCCTCACTGCCAAATCCCAGGCAGAGCAGCAGCCTGGAGAACCAGAGGCAGAAAAGGTCTGGCTAGCCACAAAAACTTAGCCACAGTAACTTTAGTAAGTGACAGTGAAGGAAGGTAAGGCAGGGAGTGATTAGGCAAAGTGGAAGAAGCTGAGAAACCATAACCAACACAGGGTCTCTGAATCAGGGATGCCAAGGGACTGGGGACCTGAGCTGGGGCTCCATCCTGCCCGACTTGGGGCAGGGTTAGAACCCCTTTGTATTTTCCAGTATTCTAAATATTATACCATGAACTGACTAAGCAGTAAGAGTGCCATTTTGATAATATCTATTTGTCTGGGCTAAAAATCTAACAGTAACATTTCAGATTTTCTTAAAGGTAATTTCAGGTCACATTTAAAATTCAGAATTTATAATAAAATCATTTTCAGCATTCAAATGCCAAGAATGAAATCAACTTTTTATTTACATTTGTCATGCCACTGCAAAACACACCATCACATGCCAGGGATGTATCGACATTCTCACACAACCGCTGTCAAACAATACGAGAAACCATTGCAACATTCCAGTATATGTACTTTGCCCATTAGAGAAATATTAAAAAATAGTTGCTCTGGTTCTAACTCGCGTCAGATTTTCCTCCTTCAGTAAATGAGTAAACAAAACTATATCAATCTGTCAAGCTTGCTGTCAGCAACTTCACAAGGGTCCCTTAGTTATAAATGAAAGCAAAAAAAAAAGCATATAAACTATTTGTCAGCTCTGCTATCAGGAGGACTAATTCAAGTTTCTGGGATTTGGGAGAAATGTATATATTCCTAACATAAACAAACAAGACAAGAGTAAACTCCATAGCTCTCAAATTTTGGTCCAGGCCTTTCTCCAGGCTTTTAAGACACTAGGCTGTATCTTACGGACACTCAGTCTCAGCTCTCCAGTTCCATCAGTCCAAAGTATCTGTGGGAAACATTGTCTGTAATGATCCTCTTCAAACTTGAATGATAAAAGTGAACATTTTGCAAACGACACCTGAGCCAATCTGCCCCATCTGCATGAGAGACAGCAAATGATTCCACTCTTTAGGCATTTAAAATAAAATGTACATATGACAAATTCCAAGCTGGCAACAAAATCCAGTCATTAAAAAAAGTGATTTGTTTTCTACAATTGCAAACACAAAGGCTCCATTTATTTCCATTGCTATAAAGAAAATGAGCCATTATATTTTTTTAAACAATCATAGCTAGCACATTTTGGAAATGTTTTAATCTCAAAATACTAACTAGAAAATTAGAGTTTAAATAGCTTTTCTAAAATGGTACCATTTTAGATAGCGTTCTGATTGATGGCATCACTTTGCCTGTGGGAAAAGATTTCACTGTCTTTTGTGTATAATGTAGTGGTGCGCATTTTTTGCTGGTGTCATTAAAATTAAAAAAAAAATTTAAATGTGAATTGTAAATACAATTATATTCACTAACAAGAAGATATATTTTACATTACAGGAGCCTGAAAAACATCTACATTTCTTTTAAAATTAGAGATTTATTGTTTCTCTGTCCTTTTCCACCTCTGTCCCTCTTTCTCTTCATAATGGTGAAAATACAATATCAAATATAATTGATATGGCCCCTAAGAAATCTTACAAAGCTGCTTGACTCTACACAGAGTGAGTAGCTTAGCTGAACTCACTGGGACTATTCCTGATGCAAAAATGCAAGCATCTGTGCATCCTTCCAGGATCAAGATCTGTAACGATGATCTGTAATCAAATAAACTACTATTTTTTTTCAAATTTCTTTGTCTGCACTTATTTGTTTGGATATAGCAACATCTGGTGGACAAACAGCAAAATATAAAGTCAAAACTTTATAAAAATGTTTTTATCAAGTGGCTGTGATTTCAGTGACTTTAGAGGCTTTGACAAAATCATATATGAGAATTTCATCTTTCACTTCTAGAAGGTTCCTTTACGGTGCTGAGGAAAGTTTGAAAGCATACATGAGTTATGAAATCATAAATCAAAAGGAAGCAATCAAACACAATTATCTATGTACGCACAGACACAAGACAAGATTTGATTTAGCTGGTATTGCTCATTTGACAAGCTAGTATAACCAGAAAAAGCAGAAAAAACTTTTGGGCACAAAACCCCTTCCATTACTGTGAAGTAGAAACGACAGACTACAAGGCTAAATGCATATTACTAACAACTGTCCTAATTCAGAGTCTAGTTCCATATGTATTAGTTAGGCCACAGCACAAAGAAAAGGGAGCAGTCCATTTTGAGAAGATATGTTAACAGCGGAGGTGCTTGGACGCCAGGGGACAGCCAGAGGTGGAGTTTGCTCTGTGGAATAACGAGGGGCAAACGGACAGGAGCAAATTGTCATAACTCCCCTCCACACACAGCCCCGGAGCCTGAGTTTGGTGAATTCAGCAGACTTACGGGTCTCCCCTCCCAGCCTTGTCTGCGAAGCCCTCCCTCCAGCGCCAGTGCGCCGGGCCCTGGTGCACGGCCAGCTCCACGGTCAGCGGGCTCCCTGCGCCACCGCCGCTCAAGGCCCCTCCGACCTGCT